GTGAATGTGAATAGCAACATGTGCGCGGGGCGTATTCAGCGTGGCCCGCAGCGCGTCGCAATTTACGCCGGTTGTCCTGTTGTGAGAACAACATAATTGGCTGGATCCAAGTGGCATGCCTCCACTGTCAAACCATGCGAACTTCAATGGCGCTGTAATCGTCAAGAGGTTGGACGAGGACGGCGTCGCGATCTGGGTCGCCGAGGGCGTCGCCGTTTCCAGTCGCGTTGACGCTGGGAAGTGCGGCCCCCGGTCGTTCTAGCACCAGTCGCGCGGCGCTCTGCCCGTAGCGCGTGGCGCCGTGGCCGCGCCTGCGGCGCTGGCGCCGTGCCTCGCCCGGATCATCAGGCACGGGGGTTGCGCGTTCGGATTGGAGGCAAGCCCGCGCGGTCCGTAAATATCAAGGGGCCTGCGTCCGCTCACCCCCGAGAACCCGCTCAGTTGCGCGTGCTAGTCGATTTGGCAAATGCTGGTGCCCCGAAACAATCATTCGAAGTGGCCTGGCCGCCCCCGCGCGGGCCATGCCATCTCGTCTGGGCGGCGAGTCGCCGAGCGACAAGGTGCTCCCACGTCCCCTAGTCGGCCTTCGGGGCAGGTGCTCTCGCGCGGGACTGGGCCAAGGCCTGGCGCCTAGCCCCCCCCCGCGCGTCAGACTTGTCCACGCGCCCCCCCGGCTGGGGGGGGGGGGGGGGGGCGCGCAGCTGGCGGGGGGCAGGCCCAGAAGGAGAAAAAGAGGGGGGGAGATGCGAAGGCGATGGGGGAGGGGGAGTTGGAAGAAGCATAAGATGCGCGCGCGAGGGAGGAATGGGGGGGGGGCAGGGGGATGAACGACGCGGCGGAAGGGAAGGGGCGAGTGCGAAGTGGTGGTGGAGGGGACAAATGCGGCGATGATCGTAATGATGATGCTTCTGATGGCGATGCGAATGGCAATGGTGATGGAGATGCTGATGATGCTTGTGATACGGGTGAAAATGCGAATGGTGATGCTGATGATGCTGATGAAGATGGTTGTGATGCTGCTGCGGATGGCGGCGATGCTGATGGCGACTAATTTGACGAGGTGGACGACGTTAATGGTCATGGAGGTGAGCGATGATGGGCCCGGAATGACGCATGGTGAATGACTGTAGACAGGTGGATGGTGGTGGTGATGCTGGTAATGACGGTGAAGGCAAAACTGGTAGTGATAATGCTGAATGTGACGGTGACTCTGATGAGGTGGATGGCGAGGATGTCGACGGTGACAGCGACGATGCTGATGACGATGGTGCTGGTGGTGATGATGCTGAGGGCTGTCATGGGGATGATGATGCTGATGGTGATGCCCGTGATGATGATGACGATGGCGAAGGGGAGGGCGAGGAGTCCCGCCTCGATCCCATTCAAGCAAAGCTGCATGAATGATCATATCTGCCCTGAGTTAGGGTGGAAGTCATCGCCTTTTCCCCTCTCTCGCTCCACATCGCCGCGGGGCCTGCCGTGCCCGCGCGGCGGCGCGGGGCGCGGGCGGGCGCGCCTCCTGTCGGCGCCCGCAGGGGGGGCCGCCGACGTGAGGCACCCGCGAAATGGAAATGAATTGCGAAGCAAACTTGGCACGACACCCGCTTGGAAAACCCCACTGCAGGCTTCGTTGGTCCAGGCAGCGGGAGCTCTCCTCGACGGAGGGCCCCTTGCAAACCAGCGCAACCAGACGCGCCTGCGTGACCGGGCGCGCCCCGACCAGGCCGCTCTGCTGACAATGTGCTCGCGTATGCTACAGCGCGAGCTTGTCCCTGGCAGCCTCCTCATCAGCTACGAAGGGGTCGGGGCCCGCGGGGTCGGGGGCGTTCAGACGCAACCCTGGCGGGGCGGATCCGAACGTGCGTCGAGGGCGACGAATCGGGGGGGGCTCTACTCGGCGCGGCGCTTGCTGCGCTCTCAAATGCACGACGAAATCCTGCGCCCACTTCCCCCGCCCCCTGCCCGTGCCGCCGCCGTTCTCCCCGGCAGCATCGCCGCGCGGCGCCTTGTTGACCAGGTGGCGGCCACCCGTCGCGCGCGTCTGCTCGGCGAGCAGGGGGTCGGCGTCCGTCATGTTCCCTCGCGGGCTGAGGATCGCGGTCGGCGCCCCCGTCGGGCTCGTTTGCTTGCAGGTGCCACCCCCGCCGTCGAGCGCTGCCGTCAGCTTCTCGTAGTCGGCCGCGATGTTCGTCGTGGGGATCTGGCCTGCGAGGTTGAAAGGAAGGCGTGTTCTGGGGCTTGCCAGGCTGGTCGAGAGCGGGACTCGCTGCCATCTCCGCGATCCATGTCTGTGCCGTGGCAGGCCCCCCCAACTCTATCATCTCCATCTATCGGGCGATGACGCATCCAGCGGGCTGCCCGACGCTGCGAAGCACCCTGGTGCACGCAATTGCTCGAAGCGTCGAGAACCGCGAAAGCACTCCGGCACGTTGGCGCGCCGCGGTCGTAATCTGCGTTGCCCCCCTTGCGGGCGAGGAACTTCCGGCGCGCGGCGCCGCTCTCCACTGCGCGCGGGCGGTTGCGATCTAGCAGCGCGCTGGTGAAGCCCATGTGCTCGACCGCCCTCGCCCTGGCCTCCAGCTGGTGCGCCGGGCCACGGAGCGGGCCTGGCTCGTGCTCGTCCTCCCCTTCGTTCTCCGCCCCCTCCTGCTGGCGGTGCTGCTTATGACTGCCGCCCACGTCGCCCGCCCCGCTCTTGTCCTTCTTGCGCGATATCGAGGGTTTCGCGCCCAGCGTTGGCGCGACCTCCGGGCCGACCCCGCCCCCCTTCCGTTCTACCTGGCCATGCGCGGCCCCGACTGCTTCTCGGACTGGCAAGGAGGGAGGGCAGATGCAGTCGAACGTAGGTCTCGGCGTGCTCCAGATAGCTGGCCCCGGATGACAGCTCTGAAAAGCGTACTGGGCATTCCAAGCTCTTGGGCGGCATGATGTTGCGCTCGCGGCGCCCTCGATTCTTAGGGCAGTTGTTGCGTCTCATACCTGCGGCTACGCGATGAGAAGCACTGGCCCCGCGCCGGAATGCGCCCTCGCAGATGGGGCGCGCGCTCGCGATCGCGAACGCCCGTCCAATGAGCAGTCCACCGCGGGATCCACCTATGGAGTTGGCCATGCACGCTATCAGGCTGCTGCGTGCTGGGCCAGCACGTGCCGCGCGCTGTGCGCCGCCCCGAACATCCTGACATGCGTGCTGGGAATCCAAGCCGTCTCGATCACAAGTTGGCCCCGGCGCGCCCCCCCCCCCCCCCCCCCCCTGAATCCAGAAGAGCCTCTGGAGGTCCTCAATCACGCTGGTGATGTGACCTGGCTCCTCAAACTCTCTCTCGAAACGAATCTCCTTGATCTTCTGGATCAAGATCCTCGAAGAATGTCAGAACACCTTTTGTTCTATGCGCGGGGCGACCAGGCTCCCAGCTGTCTGGTCTTGCCACTGAACCCAATGGTCTGGACGAAAGGAGCCCGCCCGCCCGCCCTCGACCTCTCGGGCCAGAGGGGGCGGCGGAAACAGGGACGCGGCAGAGGCAGCATCGCATGGCGCGAAATGTGGCTGGAACAACTGATGCTGCTGCGACGCATTCAGACAGGCGGGAAAAAGGGCTGCCGTGTCCGCCGGGCCTGGCTGGCCCTGCTGCTGGAAGGTCACATTCTGACCGTCCGTGCTGTCGTCGTGCTGCGCCTCACTGTTGATCTGGCGGCGCTCCTGACGGCGCCTCTCGAACCTCCTCGGCGGCTGTCGAGCCCTCTGGCGTCGTCTTGTCGAAGATGCCTCGGCCGAATGCCGCGCGCTTCCGCGCGCTCACGAAGTTCTCGTCGTAGATCAACCTCCACTCCTGCTTCTCCAGGAACAGCTTCAGCACCCCGAACGCTTGCCAGTTGCCCTTGGTGAACCCGTCCGCGATCTGCGCGTGCGAGTGGACCCGCCGCACCAGCGTCTTGTCCTCGTCGAGGGCGTTCCGTAGCGCCAGCGCCTCGATCGCGGCCCGCCGCTCCTCGAGGCCCAGTCCCGCCGACTGAGACCGCGCCACCCCGTCGTAGAAGGCCTTGCAGTCGGTCACGAGCACCGCTGGCACGTGGTGGGGCATGTCCATGCGCACCCGCACCGGCGATTTGTCCAGGAGGATCTCCGCCAGCACCATGCGCACCATGCACTGTTCTCCTTCGGCGTCTCCAGCTTCCTGCACTTCCGCTGCAAGACTCGACCGAGCCACGCGACGCAACTTCTTGGAGCCCCAGTCGAGCACCGTGAACTCTGCCTTCTCGCCGTGCATCGCCTTGGTGGCCGCGACCGCGGTGAGGCGGCCTCCCTGAGAGCGACCGTCGGGCCGGCTGGCCCAGGCGGCGTCGCACCAAGTGAAGACGGCCAAGTCGTCCACGTTGTGGCGATGCATCTGGAGTCCCATGTGCTGGTTCTGCTCGATCAACCTCGCGATGTTGTAGGCCGCGGTGAAGAGGCTGTGCGTGCCGTTCGGGATCTTGGACTGGAGCTCGGCGACCCACGCGAGCAGGAAGGGCATCGCGTTCACCCCCAGCCAGTAGACCTCCCCGCAAAACGCCCTGAGGATGGTCTGATCCTTCTCGCGCAACGTGTCGGTGGGATGATGGCGCCCGTTGTCTGCTGGACGTACTTCCTGGATCTTGTCGGCGTAGGCCCTCTGGTGTAGGAAGAAACCCTTCTCGTTCTCCACGATGGTGACCCCGCGCTGCTCCAGGCCGCCAATGCCCTCGGTCATGTCCCCCCAGGTGCCCCACTTGTAGAGTTTGCGGATCTGCTGAACGGTGGTGTTCCATTCCTCGTGGTCGGTGTCGCCCGCCAAGATGAAGTCGCCCACGCGCGCCATGGCCAGTCCGATGAGACGGCCCGTCCGGGAGCACCACAGCTTCCACATGCAAGGTTCCAGTTCGCACGCCTGAAGCCCCAGCTTTTTGAAGTCGACCTTGACGGTCTCCCACCAGTGACGTGGGGCCTCGCCGATCCCATAGCCAGGTTTGATCATCTGGAGGAGCTAACCGTCCTTCACGTTGAATGCCTTCTTGAGCACGTTGTCGGGTTCGATGAAGAGGTCCTTCTCGAGCTCGTTGGCCTGCGGGAGCGCCGAGGTGACGTCGACCTTGATCAGCTTCCAGTGATTGGCGGCGGCGATTGTGAGCATCGCGTTGCGTGCCCTTCGGGATGCCGTCGGGCTCGCGGTCGGTTCCGTGCCGAGGTCCTTGGTCTGGTAGCCTAGAAAGACGAGACGGGCCTTCGCACGACCGTCGGCCTTGCGGGTGAAAAGCCAGCGCGCCCTGATGATGTCCGCGGTGTCCTTCACTTGTGATGCAGGTACTGGTCGTAGCCCCTGGTGTTGCACCCAGTTGTTCGTCTCCTTGGCGATACCCTCCTCGAACTCCTTGTGCTCGGTCGCATTCATCTTGGACCAGGTGAGCTCCACCTTGTCCTTGCGGCGTTGGTTAGCAACGAAGCTGATGAGGATATGGGATGTAAGATCCCTGTCGGCTGTCTCCCGCCTTGTGTTGTTCCTCACGCACTCGAAGTAGACGGTCTGGTGCTCGTCGGCCCCCAGGGTGATTTCCAGGTCGTCGTGGAGCAGGTTGACCAGGACATCCTTGTCGTCCGTCCCGTCGTTGCCCTTCTGTCGTTTCTCAGGAGGTCGGTAGAGGTCGATCTCCGGTCCAGGGTGTGTCATTCGATAACGAGGCCGTGATGGGGCTGCTGACGACGATGAGCTTCCTGATGGTGGCGATCCTGCGGCGGCTCCAGGTTCCTCAGCAGGACGAGCAGGTTCAGGGGGAGCTGGTTGTGCTGGGCTGCTGGTGACATCCGTGTCCCCGTGGTCAGGTAGAGGAGGATCTTCGGGTAGTTCACCTGGCTCAGTTTCGGGCTGTGCTACAGAACGCGGCGTTGTCGCCCGGGACTCCTGCGCAGGTGGCTCCTCCTCCATGGCCTCGCCGGGAGGCTCTTCAGGTACTTGCTCTGCAGGTCCAGGGTCTGGAGGCTGCTGTGGTTCGTGCGCTCGAAGGTCTGGGGGCCGTTGCTGTAGGTCCTCGTAGGTACCAAACTTGGCGGTCTCGAGAATCTCGGTCATGGTCTTCCCGAGGTTGGCCTGCTTCTGCAAGTCGGTGATCCTCTTCTCGGCCTCCGAAGCTGGTCGAAGTTGCTCTGGCGCATATCTGAGGAGCGTGTTCCCGTGAGCGATCCAGACGACTGACGTAGTACGGGCGCGGCCGTCGATGTGCCTCTTCTCCAGGATGAGCACCCTCGCAGGACCATGCCAGCCTCCTTTCTTGCCGGGCCTATTCTCGCGGCCCTTCCCCTCTCGCCAGAAGTGCACGAGGTCGCCGGCCTCCCATGTCTGGTACACGCGGTTCCGGGCTTGTTCAGCATGTCGAAGTCGCTCAGCGCACTCGCGCTCCAGGTAGCTCTTGCGGGCAAGCAGTCGCCGCTGCTCCTGCGTCTCCCCCGCGTCGCCGTCGATGATGGCAAAAAGGGTTGTTCGAGGCGGGCATGCCCGTCACGCCCAGGACGTGCTCGAACGGCGAGTGGTTGCCAACCTTGCCCATGGAATTAATCGCGCTGACGGCCTAGGTGACGAGCTCCTGAATCTCGCAATCGGGGTCGAGGGTGGCCAGCTTCGTCATAAGCCTCTTGAAGAGCTGGATGCGGCGCTCGACCTTGCCCATCAGCTAGTGAGCTTCTCCCGGGGCGATCCAGATCTCGAAGCCGTGGTCCGATGCCCACTTGGCGACGGCCTGAGAGCAATGGCAGCCCTCTGGATCCATGAGGATGAGTGACGGTCGTCGGTAGTGGCTGCACCAAGACTCACAAGTAGAGATGACCTCTGTGGCCGTGCGGTTGCTGCTGCGCTCGCCCTTCTGCCCGTGGTACTTCGCGCTGGTGATGCCCGAACCCTCGTCAAGATTCAGCGCCATGAAGTGGGGCGTCTGCTGAGGTGGTAGCCATTCGAGTCCATCGGTCGCAAGTACTTCAAGGACGCCCGGTACCTCAACACCCGAGGCAACTCTGACTGCCTTCGGTAACTTCCCGACGTGGCATCCAAGACATTGAAATTGGAGCGCCAGACGAAGAACATGAATGGAATCTCCCGATGCCTTCAGGATCTTGTAGAGCGTCTTATTGCTGGGATGCCCGAGATTCCGATGTAGCCGTGACAGACGCTGCTCGATCTGAGGTCTCCTTCTTGGTCAGCTCAGTCTTTATCCCCATGCCCTTGCTGGAAGTCTCCACGGTCTCCATCTCGATGTCCTCGTCCTTCGGCAACTCCTCCTCGTCATCTAGCATGTTGACGTCGTCCTCCTCTGGAATCTGCTCCAGACCTGCGAAGATCTCCTTGCCGTATTTAACCGTGGCGTTCTTCTTCATGATGTGCTTGGCCCAGGACTTGCAGATGGCAGGAGGGTAGTAAGCGGTTTGCGCCACCAAGTGCCCATCCTCGATTGCTCGATGAAGATGGTTATCTCCTCGTCCGGGGCGGTTGGAGCACGCGCGGCCAACCTTCATGCCGAACTCGGGGTCCGTCGAGCAGACGCGCCAGGCCTTCTTGATGAGTGGGCCAGTCCGTTCATCTCGAAGTCCGTAGGCACAGCCATGGATGATGGTCTCGCTCATCTCGGATCCCATCTTCTTGATGGAGGGTGACCTGGACCATCTCCGGCTGCTCCAGGGCTGCTCGAGCACCGTGTGACAATCCGCTAGCTTCTTGGCCTCTTCGTAGAGCGCGAGGCACCCTCGCTGAATCCTTAGTGCCTGGCGGATCTTGTTGGAGAGCTGTTTCCTCTGCGACTCGGTCTTTTGGCTCAGATTCTGGATTTGGGCAGTCTGCCGTGCAGGATGGACTGAGAAACAGGCGCCGCGGTCGCGCCAGTCGGAGCAGATGTATCGCTCGGCGCACACCTGTAGCTGTTCCCATGTCATAACCGTTGAAAAGCCCGCATCGTACAAGTCTGCCTCCTTGAGCTTCGATGGCTTGTCCGAGAGACGAATCTTTCGGGCAACAGATCTCCATCAGGTCGGCCCTGGTCGTTTTGTACAGGATGGTGGGTCCTCCCCGATCTCGGCGTAGATGGCGTAGATCTTCTCCATCACCTTCTCCTGAGCCTGGTAGAACATCTGCAGGTCGGTGCTGTCCAGCGGCTTCAGCGGCCCCGCTTCCTCTGCATCTCGGCCAGCTCCGAGTCGTCCAGCATGGCGTCGTCCGGCTACGGCAGGAACTCCCAGGGGCCCTCTGGGTCCCACTTCGCCAGCTTCGCCGCGAGCCGTCGCCACCTCATCGCAACTGCCTGGCTGCGTATGTCCCCGAGCGCCTCGCTGGTGGGCTCGGTCGGCTGCTGCTTGAGGCGCTGGCGACTCTTCCCCCCGTGGCAACTGCATCCCGTGACTGTGCGATTCGGCGCCTTGCAGCATGAACACCTCGAACGGATCGCAGGGCCTGAGGCGCAGGTGGCGGCGGCGCCAGAGGACTTGGTGTCAGTGCTGATGGCTTTCCCTTGGCCGGTGCTGCTGCTGGTGGTGCTGGAGGTACCGGGTAGCCCATCTCGTAGAACGCTTCCGGTGGCACCATGGGTGCCGCTGCTGGTGGCCAAGCTGGATGTGCTCCGTACTGGGCCTGTAGATGAAGACAATAGTGCGACCGACCCCCGCTGCAACTGCATTCTCTCTTGGTCCGTCCCACTGCTCCGCAGCATCCGCATCGCCCCGGAGGATTGTACCTCACTGGTGACCCCGTCGGGCTGTTGACGGGCATTGGGATCGGTGGCGATGGTGGCATCGATCCTGGTGTTGTTGGTGACGCTGCTGAGCTCGCAGTTGACGGTCCAGCACGTGTCCGAGGCCGGGCCCACTCGGGCCGTCCCGCAGCTGGCGGCTGCGAAGAAGAGTCTCCACATGGCATCCGCCGAACTTGAATATGTAGGATATGGAAGAGCTGAAGCACTGGGATCCGCAAGGATTCCTTCACATTGATTTTGAGCCGTACGGGGCTGAGGTCCAGTTCTTGTCCTCAGACATTCTCTTGAAGGCTTTCCCTGGCAGACATCCTCGAAGGTGGCTCGCTTGTGACCTTGAGAGGCCTCCCAGAAGCCCTGGTAGTTCCCCCTGAACTCGTTCGGGTTCCCAAGATCTGCAAAGTCCCTGATGTCCTAGACGACGTTCCTCCTGAGCTCGACCGTGTCCCTAGAGTTCTGGAAGCCTCTGGAGTCCTCGGCGTGGGCCCCGAAGCGGTAGGTGTCGGCATCGTAGTTGTCGGAATCCTCGGACTGCTCGAACGTATCGCGGTCGACGGTCTTCTCTCGGTCGATTGTCGTGTTGAACTCGCTCTTCTCGGAATCGGTGTGCTGCTCGGTCTCTGAGTCGGGATTGGTCCGCTCGCGTCCTGTGGATGTTTCTGGGTACCTCTGGTAGGTTCTGAATCTCTCCTCTGATGCGGCCCCCCCGGTGATGGCGGTAACGGTTGCGACGCTGTCTCGCTCGCTCGCACCACCAGGGGGCGCTGCCCCTAGTGCACGGCGCCGCAGCCAGCGCAGCCCACGCAGGGCTCCTCTGACTCCTCGATCAGTACGTTGGAGTCCTGCTCTACCGCGTTGGCCTGGCAGGTCTCCAAAGACAAGGGTGCAGGTACTTCACGCCACCACTGCGGCGTCGACAGGTTGATCGCCAGGTGCTTGCTGGAGAGCCGCTCGCAGTAGTAGACCTTGTTGCCCAGTGTCGGTAGACCAAGCCAGTTGCGGCCGCAGTCCACCACCACCTTCAGGTCGCCTGTCAGGATGTCCATGCCCAGGAGGATCGGAACGCGGTTCGCCATTACCGAGAGGCTGATCTCCCGCAACTGAGGTCCCAGGAAGGCCTTGTCTGTGACTGTCCCCATGGAGCTGTTCTGGAGGCCGTCCCCGAAGGTGAAGGAGCAGGTGTCGTTATGGGCCTCGAACTCCACATTGTGGTTCACCAGCATCTCGTACATCAAGTTCTCCACGCTCTCGACACCGCCCAGGCTGCGCGTCGCCCCGATGTCCAGCACGGCCCAGATCCCCTCGCGCTCCAGCCAGTAGACGTACTCGTCCAGCGCCGACAGGATGAAGCCGTTGTGCGTCGTCCCCGTGCCAGCAGTAGCGCTGTTCCCGACCTTGCCACGGTCGGGGCAGTCTCGAGCACGATGTCCGAGCTGCCTGCAGATGCTGCACTTCATCTTGGAGAGGTCGCGCGCCCCCTCGAATCGTACTCGTCGGTCTTGTCCACGTCCCCGACCTTTGCAAGGTCCCCGAAGACGTCCTTCTGGATGTGGCTTGGGAGGTGGCGCCACGCGCTTGTCGTCGTCCCCTGGCGCCGCGACCGGGTAGCAGTCCCGCGCCACACGTACTTGTCGAAACAGATCTCGAGCATCCTTGAAACTCCGCCCCGCCTGGCGGAACTGCGCGAACACAACGTTGTCCGCCTCCAGGTCGGCAGCCTCTTCGTCGTCGTCGTCCTCGTCTGCGAGGTTGATCAGCTGCTCGACCATCTCGTAGATTTCGTCAACTTCCCCTGCAGTCCCGTGCTCGTCGTCGTCGGCGTCGTTCTCGTGCAAGGCCCGCCCCCTCTTGGTCTTGCCGTCCAGCTCCGCCATGGCCTCCGCCGGGAAGCGTGTCAGCAGGGTCTTGTAAGTCTTCGCAAAGTTGAAGTCCCCCCCGGCGGTCGCCGCCACCTCGCCTCGACGCGCGGGCGTGAGCCTGGACTTCACAAAAACCACCATGTATGGAGCGGCTTGGCAATCACTTCCTTGACTTCCGGGTCAATCGCCTGCAGCTGCGTCGGCAGCTCTCTCTCTCTCTCTCTCTCTCTCTCTCTCTCTCTCTCTCTCTCTCTCTCTCTCTCTCTCTCTCTCTCTCCCTCTCTTTCTCTCTTTCTCTCTCCTTCTTCTCGAACCTAGCGGCCCAGTCCTGGAAGGTCTCGCCTGAGTTGCGCGGCGCGCGATCTTCAGGAAGAGCTCCTCTGCCAGTAGGCCTGTGTCGTTCAGGCTGGTGTAGTCCAACTTGTCCAGCGCGTAATTTAAAGCCGTCTCCCAGTCGACCAGTCTTCCGCCGTCGTCCACGCGGTCCACGTCGTCGATGGGCGGGCAGCTCTCCACGGCGTTCCGAACCCGCGGCCCAAGCGCCCGAACCAACTGCGATCCACAGACGTAGCGGTCGCTCAGCCTGATGCTCTTCACGAACATGGCCACCTCGAAGCGGTAGCTCGACAGCTTCTCTGCCTCACCGTTCCAAGATGGCACCTCCACTCTGGCCGGCGTCGAAGTGCCGGATGTAGTCGCCATCGTGACGAGACTGGCGGGGGCCCGTGGTGGTGTTTCCACGAGCTCCGCTACCAATCTGAATCCCAAAGGGCCTCTGGAGGTCCTCAGTCACGCTGGTGATGTGACCTGGCTCCTCAAACTCTCTCTCGAAACGGATCTCCTTGATCTTCTGCTTCTGGATTAAGGTCCTCGAAGAATATCAGAACACCTGTTGTTCTATGCGCAGGGCGACCAGGCTCCCAGCTGCCTGGTCTTGCCACTGAACCCAGTGGTCTGGATGAAAAGAGCCCGCCCGCCCTCGACCTCTCGGGCCAGAGGGGGCGGCCGAAGCAGGGGCACGGCAGAGGCAGCATCGCGCGACGCGAAATGTGGCTGGAACAACTGATGCTGCTGCGACGCATTCAGGCCCCCCCCGTCGGGCGCGCGGGCGGCTGACCTGAGCTCGTCGACGTCGATGTTGACGGAATCCGCGGGGTCCTCGAAGGGTAAAGTCTGGCAAACGAGTAGAGCCTGTCCTTCGTGAAGTATTTGTAATGCACGGAAATATTCTTGCGCCTGTCGGGCCCAAGGGTCGGCCTTGTCGGTCGCCCTCTTTTTCGCGATGACCTCGCCATCGCGCGCCGTGCTACCGAACGCAGCTGAAAGAAACTGCGCGCGCGCATCTTGATTGGCAGCGATTGCCGGTGACCATTTCAGTCTCTGCATCCGTTGTCCAAGGCATAGACTGCCCATTCTAAACTTATTCATGGCCGGCGCGTTGGATCATATGATGTCGCGCGCGTCGCGCTCATTCATGCGCGCTGCGCCCTGCGGTGTAAGTCTGCATTTTCCCCATATGCAGGATTGACGCGGCTGGGGGGCCCGCCCCCGCAAAGGCCCCCGCCTGGGCGCGCGCGCCTCGAGTCCCGACAGGGCGGTGTTCAACAACGAACATGTCACTACATGTCTCCTAGCACTGAACGGCGCGTCGCTATGCCAGGACCCCCCCCCGCGCTGTGGAAGCTGGACTTGGCGGCGGCGAGCATCTCCTGCAACCCTGGCGCCGGCGATAACGCGGGCGCCTGCGAGCCGCCCATGTGCCGAACGCGATGCGCGACTTTGCCATCCAACGCCGTTCCTTGCCTCGAGAAAGCCTGCGTTGCCTCGTGGGGGCCCCGCCCCGCTTGGCGGCGCGCGTTCTCCTCCTTCTCTAGGTCTTGGCTTGCCCCTGTCTCCTCGAGCCCTTGATTAAAGGCGGCATTCTCGAGCGCCCTCCTCGCTCGATCTGTTCGAGCATCCCCCCCCCACCTCGAGCGCCTGGCTGCCTGCGTCGCCCGCGAGCCCCGCCCGCGCGCTCTTCTCGGCGTGCCAGGGCGATTTCGCTTCTAGGACGACATGCCGCTGATTGGGGATGGCTGCGCCGGCGTTCTTTGCGAAGGGGGGGGGGGGGGGGGTCTGGGTGACTAGGCGCGTGGCTCCCTCGTCTCCTGGAAATGCGCCCCGCTGAGCCTTCGACCAGTAGCTCCCCGTCATCTCAGACGCGCGCGAGATTCTGCCTAACCCTATCCTGGGTGAGCTGGAAGCCCCGGGGCCCGCGGCATCTCTCGGCGGCCTCGAGTGCCTCATTCTGCTGCGAGCTGCACACGCGCGCGCTGGTCGGTGATTTCTGTCCTCGCGCCCTTGGTTTTCACTGGCTTGGACGAGCCCGCGCGGCACAGGGGCGCGGTCGATGCGCGACTGCCCCCCCCTGCCTACGAGCGTCGGCGGCAGGCCCCGCTACGCGCCTGTGCTACGCATGCTCCATCCTTCGAAAAGTGGACGGAGCGCGGCGCTGCTCGGGGTCGCGTTTCCTTTGCCCCGGGGCCCCGCCGCGAGGTCGCCGCGTGAATGCGGCAAAGTTCCATTGAGATCCAGCATGATCAAAGGGGACCGCCTTGCGCTGGAACATGAAACTCGTCGCGCCCGTGAGCCAGTCGCTTAGGGTCGGGACCGTTTTTTTGTTGATGTTTCGGTTCGGCCTGATTGGCGGTCTGTCTGGAAGTGCAATGTATGACCGCGAACCCGTGCCTAATTCCACTGCGTTCGAATGTGCACGCCCCCATATGTGCTCGGGTGCAGGGAGTGTGTGTTTGACACGCTGTACGGGAACACGTTCACGTTGCAACCGGATCGCCACACCGCAACTTGAGGTCAACATCTTCCCGTTGACATCCTCCGCCTCCACTGCCGTGTGTTCCCCCACCTCTTTCTTCTCCTTCCACTGCTCGCCTCCGCCCTTCCTCTGGGTGCCGATAAGCCCCACCACGCCCCTCTTGCCATCTCCTCGGCGACGTCGAAGAGGCGAGAAGAGGACAGGGCAGCGCACGGGTTGTAGCTGACGGCCCTGAAGACGCCCGCGGTGGCGGGCGGCAAGGGCGGCTCACGGTCCGCCGCCAGGCTCCCTCCCATCCGCTGGGCACAGGGAGGTCCCCGCGCAGTCCTGGGGGGGGCGGCCCCCCCTGGTTGGCTGCGAAGACTGTCTCCCGAAGAGGCGCGTGCCACCTGGAGTAGGAGGAAGAGGAGGAGGGGGGGGCGAACAGGAACAGGAGGAGGAGGATGATGGCTGAGGGGAGAATGAAATTCGCTGGCCCAGCGGGCCAGAAGCGTGATGAGATCTCCCGTGGCAAGTTCACAATATTTCCAATTCGCGCGCGCGTGGCGGCCCCTGGAGACCCCGGACGAAAAGTACCCCGGGCGATGCCCGGCCGATGCCCGGCCGACTCCCTTGGGGCGTTCCAGGAATGCGCCAAGAGGGCGCCGGGGCGCGCCTCGCACGGCCCAAGAGGCCCCGAGTCGCCGAAAGATCGTTCCCAAACGCTCAATCAAGATGGTTTCCATATGGCCCCAGAAGCAACGAACAAAAACCCAAGAGAGACTCAAAAGGCTCCCCAAGAGGGCCCCAACATGCAACAATCGCACCATTCCCTTCAAAAACCGTGCATGTTTCGCATGTGCAGCATTTCTCGTCTTTTCGGCTTTCTAACGCTCCAGGACGGCCCAATGGGCCCCAAAAGCCGCCCCAAGACGGCCCAAAAAACCTCGAAGAGGGCCCCAAAACGGCACAAGATGCCCAACATATTCCAAGAAGCGCTCAACATGGCCCGAGAGGGCCCCAAAACGACCCCAAGAGACGCCCAAGACGGGGACCAGGAACTGACAAGTCCAGCCTTCAGCACCAAGAGGCCCCCAGGAAACCCCAAGAGGCACCCCAAGGGGCCCCCGAGAGGCGCCCCAAAGAACCCCAAGAGGCCCCCAGGACGCCCAGAGGGGCCCCAGCACGGCCCCCCCCAAAACTTCAAAACTGCCTCCCAGAGGCCCCCAAAACAACCGGACACGGCCCCCAAGCGGCGAGGCAATATGGGCTGGCGAAAACAGCAAAACGATTGAATACATAATGGTGGGGGGATGAAAAGAAATACGCGGAACCAAGGAGGGTGGAAAAGGGGGCGGGGATATGGGGGGCAGTAAATTCGAAGGCTACGGGGGCAGTGGAAGAGACGAGCACAGGAACAGGAGGTGGAGATGTGAGAATGCAGGGGAGGAGGAGGGCGGGGAGGAGGAAGAGGAGGAGGAGGAGGAGGAGGCAAAGGAGGAGGAGGAGGAGGAGGAGGAGGAGAGGAGGAGGAGGAGGAGGAGGAGGAGGAGGGAGGAAAACGATGAGGAGGAAAAGGGGAAGCGAGAGGAGAGGGAGAGGAGGAGGAAGAGAGGAGGAGGGGAGGAGGAGGAGGAGGAGGAGCAGGAGGAGGAGGAGGAGGAGGAGGAGGAGGAGGAGCAGGAGGAGGAGGGGGAGGAGGAGGGGGAGGAGGAGGAGGAGAGGAGGAGGAGGAGGAGGAGGAGGAGGAGGAGACGAGGAGGAGGAGGAGGAGGAGGAGGAGGAGGAGGAGGAGGAGGAGGAGGAGGAGGAGGAGGAGGAGGGGGACAAGCTAGGTGCGCTCGCGTCATATCTGACATCCTACCCCTCCCTCCCATCCCTTACCATGGCGCAGATCCCTTCTCTACTCGCACAGTCGGATGTCGAGCACGGCGTTGATCCCGAAAGGGTACGCGATGCATTGTAGAGCACGGCGTGGCATGGCGTAGACGAGCACCGCGAAGCGTAGTATCAACCTAGCATTGCATTGCATGCCGTGGCATGGCAGGGGGAATGACGCCATCGCTGCAGCGGGAGCGCGAGTCGAAGCGAGCGGAAGCGCGGAAATGAGGCCACCGCTGCAGCGGGAGCACGATTCGGAAAGAGCGGAAGCACGCCAGAGTCCGCCCGGGAGGTTTCCCGGGCGCCAGAACAGAAATTCAGCATTTTCAAAAGAAAAATGTGTATTAGAGTGGCCTTTTTTCTGCGCCGCCTCGGAACTCGATTTTCCGGCGCCGGCCGGAACCCGCTCCGGACCAGGCCCGGGCGCCGGCCCGGGCGCCGGCTCGGGCTTCTGGCCCGGGCGCCGGCTCGGACGCCAGCCGGGGCGTCGGAATCGGCCCGGGAGGCCCCCGGGCGCCGGAAGCAAAAATTTAGCATTCTCAAAAAATAAATGTGTATTAGAATAGCCTTTTTTCGGCGCCGCCTCGGAACTCGATTTTCCGGCGGCGGCCGGAACCGGCTGCGGACACGGCCCGGGCGCCGGCCCGGGCGCCGGCCCGGGCGCCGGCTCGGGCGTCCGGCCTGGGCGCCGGCTCGGGCGCCGGCCTGGGCGCCGGAATCGGCCCAGGAGGCCTCCCGGGCGCCGGAAGCAGCAATTTAACATTTTCAAGAGAAAAATGTGGATTCGAATTGTCATTTTTCGGCGCCGCCTCGGAACTCGATTTTCCGGCGGCGGCCAGAACCGGCTCCGGACCCGGCGGCCCGAGCGCCGGCCCGGGCGCCGGCTCGGGCGCGCAGCCCAAGCGCCGGCGGAAATAAGCTCAGCGCCAGCACGGTTCGGAACGAGCGGGGCCCCAAAATGAGGCCGGCGCCTCAGCAAGAGCAGCATTTTGGAAAAAATGCAAGCGAAATCCAAACTCCGGGGAAACATGCGTGTGAAAAAAACAATGCGCGGGGGGGGGGGTCGGCTACTCCCATTCGGTCATCAGGGGAAGAAGGAAAATAGCATTCATATTGAATAATTGTGGAGGAGGAGGAGGAGGAGGGGGAGGAGGAGGAAGAGGAGGAGAGGAGGAGGAGGAGGAGGAGGAGGAGGAGGAGGAGGAGGAGGAGGAAGGAGGAGGAGGAGGAGGAGGAGGAGGAGGAGGAGGAGGAGGAGGAGGCGGGGGGGGGGAAGGAGGAGGGGAGGAGGAGGAGGAGCAGATGATAAAGA